TTCCGTAAGATAAATCTCGCCAGCTTTTTTGATTGAAAATGGTGATAAGGTCTTTAATTGTGTGGGAAAAGTATTAAAGGTGTTGAATTACTTCTCTTATTCCTGTATGCTATGTTTCAGAATATGAGCAGCCATCACAGAAGTACAAAGGGCAGCAACAAATCCAGATCCTAGAAAGGTGGTCACCTGATGCCTTCAAGACATGCGTCCTAGCCACTGGCCCCCCAAAGAAGCCCAGATGGCTCTTGTCAGCCATAATCCCACATCCACTCAAGGGCGAGGGTGTGACCCAGCCACCTTCTTCTTTTTCTTCCTTCTAGCCTGAGTAACACTCAGTTTCCTCCCCCAGCCACATAGGTAATTGGAGTTTCATCCAAGCCCCCCGTCACCCCGCCACCCTGGCCGTTTCCGCTGGAGTCTTCACAGCCCCCTCCCATTTCCCGACTCCTGCCGGACCCCGCCCCCCCCTAAAGCTCTGACTTCCGCAGAAGTGTTACCCCGAGCTACGACCCCCGCAGGGGTCGTCTCACCGTCCCTTCCAGGCCTTAGCAATCTTTATTTATATATATATATATATATATATATATATATATATATATATATATATATATATATATATATATATATATATATATATATATCTATATACACCTGTACATAGATATATATTTATAATAGCGCTGTCACTCCCCCGCTCCATCTCCTAACGGAGTGTTCCTCGAGCACCTAACTTATCCCGTCACCCTCTAACAGGAGTCTTCACTGTCCAAATCCCCTTTCCCAGACTCCTGCTAGAGTAGGCCAGCTTGCCCTGTTCCCCGGGCGCCGATCCCCGCAGGGGTCAGTCACTGCCCCCCCCCAGGCCACTGAAACTCATTATATATGTATATCTATGGACTTTCGTTTATAGATATATATTTATATAGAGCGCTGTCACTCCCCGCTCCATCTCCAGTCGGAGTGTTCCACGAGCATCGACTCCAGCAAGAGTCTGGCCAAACTTGCCACTCACCCTCTAGCAGAAATCTCCACCGCCCAAATCACACTTCACGATTTCTGCTAGAGATGGCAAAATAAAAAATTGCTGCACCCAACTCCCGCAGCACCCATTCTGACTCAGAAGTCTCCTGATCACCCCCTCCAGGCCTTAAATTATCCCATTTTATATATATATATATATATATATATATATATATATATATATATATTTATATACTCTCTCATATATACATATATATTTATATATAGCGCTGCCACTTCCCTGCTCTATCTCTGTTTGGAGTGTTCCTCGAGCATTTTTGACTCTTAATGAGCCAACCCCGCCCACCCCTTATGGCCCCCCTTCACTAGTCTCCACCCAACCCCCTCCCCCGCTCTGACTTCCACAGGAGTCAGTTTCAAACTTTGCTCCAACTGGAGCCCCCTACTCTTTCTTCATTCCTTAATAACTATATCCAGCAGCCGGATATAGTAAAAACTTTCTAGCTTTTTGGGGGAAATTCTTTGAAATACTCGGCTGCTGTCCCGAGCTAGAGGCATTTTTTTGGGGAGCAATCGAGACCTACCTGCTCTCGGTTCTCCTGATATGCTTCTAGACCGGGCGGGAGCCCTGGGCTCAAATATCTCCGAGCTCAGGGTTCTCTCCCGGGACAGCATGCCAAACCTGCTATAAGTGCCAAGCATATCTAAGTGGGAACTCTTGAAGTGAAGTTTCATAAACTAATTTCGAGAGGAGCACGTGATATGATTGTGCACCGCTGGCCACTCATCCGTAATCAGTAATAATCCAATTAGAATGATCCTAGCTTAGTATAAATGGATCACTTTCTCCCCATTGCACTATCTTCATTTTGGAAGAATCCCCCCTTCCACCCCATCTCCTCCTTTTTCTCCCCTTCTAAAGGGGGAGCGATCGAGACCTACCTGATCTCGGTTCTCCTGATATGCTTCTAGACCGGGCGGGAGCCCTGGGCTCAAATATCTCCGAGCTCAGGGTTCTCTCCCGGGACAGCATGCCAAACCTGCTATAAGTGCCAAACATATCTAAGTGGGAACTCTTGAACTTGTATTTCTTGTGATGTGACTATTGTGAATGATCATTGATGCTGAAATAATGCTCTGGGATAATTTATGTGAGCTAAGGGATAATTGACCCAAAAATGTTAATTCATAATCGTCACAATCATATTCATGCGGTGAACTATCCATTTAAGATTGTGCAAACAGTGAACCTCTGTAAAAGTAAAGCTTTAATGTTTTAATTTTCCACTTAAATACCAGTTCCTCATCTAACATTCATTCATGCAGTGAATAACTATCATTAACTGAGTTACATATTTATTATTCAGTTTACTCTTACTCATCCACTAACTGTGGTGTCAGATGCGGTTTTGACCTCCATCAGTGTTTTTAACATCTATAAGACTCGACAGAATCTCACACAATCTGTGGCATAAATTGATAGACTGTTTCAGCTTTAGCAGCACATCATGCTGAATTACTGATCCTGAGCTGAACATTGTTTATACAAGTACCACAAGTTATTTAATCTGGTCTAAAGACTAAAAAGCTGTTTAATATTAAAGATAAAAGGTAAACTAAAACCACTTTGTCCTCTCTGACACTAAATATGTTTTTAGCTGTTTTATGATTAAAAAATTATGTTTGTGATTATTAATCTGCAACCAACAACCTGCAGTATTTTATAATATGGTGGCCTTTAGCGTCATTGTGCAATATATGAACTGTGGATTACACTAGAGGCCACATCCGCATCTGACACCATATTTAGTGACTAAAAAAGTGTTGATTCAATTAGTGAATGAATGAATGAATAAATGAGATACTCACTGAATGAGTGAATGTTAGTCGCTGAACTGCTTTTCTGTTGTCATTTAAAAGCTTTTCATTTCCTGATGAACTGTGGCCTATTTGACGAGATGTTTCGCTGTTAAACGGCAAATCATAAATAATTTAGTTATGAAAATATTGTTTCTATATGTATTAATCATTATATATATAATATATATGAGTCACTGGGCGTTGCAGGCACTGTTATTCAATGGTTCAGATCTTACCTCTCTGACAGGTCATTCAGGGTGTCTTGGAGGGGAAAAGTGTCCAACCTACAGCATCTAAACACTGGGGTACCTCAAGGCTCTGTTCTTGGGCCACTTCTCTTCTCCATCTACACGACATCTGTAGGACCAGTCATTCAGAAACATGGATTCTCCTACCACTGCTATGCTGATGATACCCAACTATACCTCTCTTTTCACCCTGATGATCCCTCGGTTCCAGCTCGCATCTCAGCCTGCCTGTCGGACATTTCACACTGGATGAAAGATCCTCATCTTCAGCTTAACCTCACGAAAACAGAAATGCTTGGAGTCTCTTCCAACCCGACTCTGCACCACAGTTGCCTTTAAATAGCACAACATTGTGATTAACTATTCAGTACAATAAACTTTACTATGTGGTTCTAAAATACTATAGTATTTAGTTTAAATAACTATATTTTATTTGGGACCGTACTGCTGTTTATTTTTATCCAAACAGTGCCATAAGACCAATAAAAAGTCAACTTTACTTCATCATTTATCATTTTCTCTATTAGAGTTCGCTGTGATGATCAGATTCTCCACAGCTCTGATTCTCTCAGCTCTCGCCGGGTTCAGTGGCGCGCGCCTGTAATCCAAGCTACTGGGAGGCTGAGGCTGCGGATTGCTTGAGCTCAGGGCTTCTGGGCTGCAGTGGACTATGTTGATCAGGTGTCCACACTAAGCTCGGTATCGATATGGTGCTCTTGGGGGAGCTTGGGACCACCAGGACGTGTAATGAGGGGTGAACCGGCCCAGGTCGGAGACGAAGCAGGTCAAATCCCCCGTGCTGATCAGTAGTGGGATCACACCTGAGAATAGACACTGCAGTGCAGCCTGAGTGACACAGAGAGACGCAGACTTTTTCTTCCAGGAGCACTTACACATACAAAAAAAGAGGAGAAATACTACTTAATCTCTTTCCCTAATTTTTTATTGTTCTGACCATTCTAGATTTAAAGGGTCATCATAACTGCATTATAACAGGCTTCATCAGGCAGTAAATCTTTTGGACTCTTAAAATGTTCTTTTGATTATCAGAAACAATAAATATCACACACTTCTGATCACTTCTACATTCACTGTAATCCACTGCCACAATCACACACACACACACACACACACACACACACACACACACACACACCCACACACACACACACACACACACACACACACACATTGCTGTATAATAAAGCTTTGAACTAAACTTTGGATTTGGATGAGGCAACTTTAATATTTTATTGATTTTAACACATAATGAAGATCGAAGGCAAACATGAAGGGATTTACATTATAAACGCATAAAGAAATGATGAGCTTAGAGAGTTTTAAATCATTTTTAACACACGGAAATAAACTTTTGTAGAAAATAAATTTGAAGGAGCTTTAAAAAAAAGTGTTAAATTACTTTAAAAACGAAAAAACAAATCGCCACTAGGTGGCAGCAAGAGACCGCTTTAATCGAGTGAAGCTTTGAGTGATTCATTCAGCACGAATCACTGATTCATTGACTCGCCCGACTCTTTACAAAGGCCAGAATCATTCGTGTAAGGAAACGCCACTGTGTTTTATTTAGAGATGTCCAACTGTTCTGCTGTTTATTTTATTATTATCATAGTAATGATTTCACTATTATTTATGAGAAAATAACGCGAAAGTTTTTCAGCGCCTCGTCACGTGATCGTCAGCATCCATGGCAACGGTTCTTTTTGTGTTGTTTTGAACTCCGCTCTGTCATTGGCATCTGATCTCGGCGTCCTTCGTGGCAACTGATTCCCAGATTATTGATATTATTGATTGTTGGATACATCGATTGATCGTCTGCTTCTCCCATCATTCAGGTTTGACCCTTGTTATCACACTGTGGTTTGTGTTCAGTATGTCTTGTGTTCATTACAGGTTTCAGAGTCGACTCACCTACGACTCGCTCCAGTTTGAGGGCCTCAACATCACTGTGGGAGAGCTGAAGCGGCAGATCATGAGGCGCGAGAGGCTGAAGTTCTGCCAGCTGAAGATCAGCAAAGCCCAAACTGATGAAGGTGAGATGAGGAAAAGCCACTTAAACTATATTACACTAACATTAGATGTGTTATCAGACAGACTTGTAGAAGCTGTGATTTATTATCATGACTCTGATGGTGACATATAGTGATGTTCTGAGTGTTTTAAAATGCTAATGGCACTCAAAGTATACCATGGTAAATGATTATTACTATATTCAAACTTTATTTTGCTGTCAGAATACATAGATGATGATGCTCTCATCCCCAAAAACACATCGGTCATCATCAGACGGGTCCCTGCGGCTGGCCTGAAGTCCTCCAACAGAAGATTTGTTGGGTAAGTTATGTGAAATGAGCGCAATCGTCCTCTGATAGATGTTATATCAAGAGTTTGAGTCTGTCTGTGGTGTTTTGGTCACACAAGCTCCTTTGTTTTGTTTTGCAGACATCAAGCTGGACCATCAGCTAAATCTTCTCAAACAGGTGATTCTTCACTCCTCTCACTGGAGCAGCTGTTGAAGGTATTGAACAAATGATTAATTCACCCCACTGTGCTGCTCTGTATTGAACTGCAGTGTTTGCATTTGAGGCGTCATAATGACATGTAGTGCAGAATATCAATACACAGTGTTTAGCAAACAACAATACACACAAACACACACACACACACACACACACACACACACACACACACACACACACAAACACACAGCTTCTTAGGGAGATTTGAGGGTGTTTATTTAGAGCAAATCAGTGAAATAAAATTCTAATGTGCAAATGCCTGTGAAACAGACTGAGAATCTGGCTGAGGCAAAGGCATCAGAGGAGGACAAGCTAAAAGCGGTGATGTACCAGTCCAGTCTGTGCTACTACTCCAGCAGGTGAGCGTTCAGACACTGACAGGTTTGGTTTGTGAGAAATGTTAGAGCTGATTCTCATGGTTCTGATGTTCATCAGTGAGGCCATGACACTACTTGGGCTTCTTCCACCCAACTATGTCTGCTTTCACTGTGGGATCCCAGGACACCACATTAGGCACTGCCCCTCTAAAGGGGTAACTGGGTTTTCTAAGCTTATGGTTGCTGTGAACTTGAGCTCTTGACTCCATCAGTCAGATTGTTTGCTCTGTCGTTTGACTGTCACTCATGAATTCACAGGGCAGCAGCTTTGCTCCGCATAAGCGCATCAGGAGGAGCACAGGGATTCCCCGCAGCTTCCTGTTGGAGGTGGACGACCCAAACCGAAAGGGAGTCATGATGGACGGCAGCGGCAAATACGTCATTCCCATCATAGACGCGTGAGTAAACTGTACTTGGCATTGCAGCATGTTCTATTGTTTGTGAAAATCTCACATTATGTCTGCTTGTGTGTGTTTGCGCTCGATCTGTTCAGTGAGGCCTATGCTGCTGAGAAGAAAAAGAGGCCGTCCTTCTGCCAGACCAAGCCGCTGTCCTCCTCTTCCTTAGCAGGTGCGGAGACTTCAGTCTGGTATGCCGGAGGGAAACGATCCCGCTCCCCATCTTCATCAGAGACGCACGGCGACCAGAAGAGACCACGTCACTGAGAGACCTTCATCCAAGAGACCTGGAGCTGACGTGAGCACAGTGTATATATTGTACATAGTTTATGAATAAAACTGAATAAATATTATAGCAGCATAAACTGTGGACTGGTTGACCTTCACACAATACAGAAACACAAAAGAAAATGATCAACACATTAAGATAGAAATGATGAACAAACATGCTGCGGGAGAACCAGTGTGCTGTCCTGCTCACAATCTAAAACTTTTAGTTAAAGTCTATTAAATGTTAATCTGAAAAAAATAATACGCTGAACAGCTTTTATAGTATTCAATAGTTTTCCTCATTAAGGGAAAAGTTCAAGAAACATGGAAGAAAAGGCGGCATGTACATATTTTTAAAAATCCATTGAAATGACAAAGATGTGCATGCTCTAATAAGTCATTTTGGCTGTGTTCATATGGTGTCCTTTGGTGGTTTCTATTGCTGTTGTTGTTTACTGTTCAGCTGACTTAAGCAAATAGATTTCTTTATATATATGGCCTCACTGTAGGAAGGTCGCTGGTGGGAGTCCCGGCTGGGTCAGTTGGCATTTCTGTGTGGAGTTTGCATGCTCTCTCCGTGTTCATGTGGGTTTCCTCTGGGTGCTCCAAAGACATGTGCTATATAAGTGAATGAATAAGCTAAATTAGTCATAGTGTATGTGTGTGAATGAGGGTGTATGGATATTTCCCAGTACTGGGTTGCAGCTGGAAGGGTATCTGCTGTGTAAAACATATGCTGGATAAGTTGGCAGTTCATTCCGCTGTGGCGACCCCAGATTAATAAAGGGACTAAGCTAAAGGAAAATGAATGAATAAATTGATTGATTGATTTTATTTAACAATTTTAACAAAAATATACAAACAAGTCCAGTTTGACATTCATATCTTAAAAACTGTCGAGGATAAAATACACAATAAAGCCACAGGCTGATTTCCATCGTGGTCATCGATATTCTTAAAAAATGAACGAGCAAATCATAAAGTGCAAACATCATCAGCTCAGAAACTCAGCACAACAAAAATCCTCAACTTCAACCGTGAAACAGCCATTTTTTAATTTCCTCTCTAAAAACTCTCAAATTGAATCTCTTTAAAACTCCTCGGCAGTATATTCCAAGCAACAGTACACAGAAAAGACTTTCTACCTGTTTCACTATTAATTCTACAAGGACAAATACCCCTGCTACTCGCTCTTGTAGAATGACAGTGTACCTCACTAACTAAAACTTAATAATTAAATATTTTAAAATCTTAAACACCATCACCAATTTCAGAAAAGTGACCCTTTTTCCAACTTTTAATAAATTAGTTTGACTATAATATTCATTATTTAAATGTGTTAGTGGAAGTACTTTGATAACAATTCTGCAACTTATTTTGGGCCGTCTGCAATTTATTTTTCATTTTTGTGGAACTACTGCTGTACCAAAAGACTGCAGCATAGTCAAAGTATGACTGCACTAATGCACTAGCCAATATTTGTAAAGTTTGGAAATCTAAGAGCTCTGTCTGTCTTGCTAAAAACTTAATTTTAGAACTTTTGATTGGACTATAACAGCCATCTTCTCACCTGTCAAATTACTGTCTGAAATGGAACCTAAATATTTCCCTTCATGTTTGGGTTCATTAATTTGATGCTCTACTTTTACCTCTGATCTGACACATATTTGCAGTTTCGCAGTTGAACCAAATAAAATAAATTCTGGTTTACACAAGTGTAAGGACAATTTATTAAGGTTAAACCATTAAGAGACTTCCTCAGTTTGTTTACTTTTTTCATTTTCAATAAATTCCTTCCTCTCATGAGACACAATTATTGCTGCATCATCCGCATTTAACAAAAGCTTTTTTGAACAGGCCATTTTCAAATCATTGATGTATATTAAAAAAGCAAAGGACCTAAAACACTGCATTGTGAAACCCCATAAGAAACGGTCGAATAATCTGAAAACACACCATTTAAATCTACTATTTGACATCTGTTTTCAAGGTAAGACTTCATGCATTTACAGGCCAAAACACCAAAACCCATTGCCTTTACTTTTAAAATCAATATCCTGTGATCGACTGTATTGAAAGCTTTTTGCAGGTCTAAGAAAACCATCCCACTTAACTTCCTTTATCCATATCGCTCTTTATATAATTTGTTAATTAAAAGAAACTGTTGAATCAGTGGAATGATTTTCCTAAAACCCGACTGAAACTCCACAATACGTCACATTTTAAACAATATTTTTCAATGTGCTAATAAATAACTTTTTCCCTCCCTTTTGACAAAGCACTCAAAATTGAAACCAGCCTAGAATTATTAACCTCAAACCTACTACCTTTCTTAAAAAGAGGAATAACTCTTGCTTTTTTCAACTTTACCTTGACAAATAGAAAAATTGATAATATGAGTAACCATCGGAGTGACGCATTTAGGGAGTCTTTGAGGGAACTGCACTGGAATATTATCTAACCCTGTTGCTTTACTATTTTTAAGTGTTACTAATTTCTTAAATATATCCCCCTCCTCTATTTTATTAAACAAAACTTTCTAGATTAAAATTGCATTTGGCATAATACTCTATAACTAATTTATCAATAAAAATGCCATTTTGTACTGGAAGCTTTTTAACCGTCAATATCAGGTGGTATTAAAAAAATAATTAACAATGTCATAGTCAGATATAATTAAAACAAACATGATGAAGCCAGTAAATCTGGTTGTGACCTACCCGTGTGTTACTTTTGTTTCTGATGGGGCCAAAAATTATAATGTGCCATTTATGTTTAAAGTAAAATTATTCTCTATATATATTTTTTAATTTGATATATTTTCAATTAAATTCAATATATTTCTGTCTAAGGCATATTTTTAAAATATAGACATGAAATTGAGATGATTTTTGTATTTTTGTTTACAAATAAACTTTTTGAAGTCTGCTAGTAAACAGACTTCTAGCTTAAATCATATTTACTTGACTTTTGAAGCCAGTTTTTATATTTCAATATTATGTATAACTTTCTTTTTCACATATTTCACATAGTTCGTTATTTTTGTGTTTTCACTTTAATTGAGGTTTTGATTTATATTTGTCTGATTGAAGCATGTAAAAGTGATGAGGGCGAAGACACACTGTAAAATCTGTGCTTTTGTTTACATCAGGAGTGATTAAAGAGCCGTCACAACTGCTGATACCTGTCTGGTTATTCCCACAATAAAAAGAAAACACAATGCAGAACCCTTGATGGAGCTGCCAAATATCAGATGATGGGTTCAAAGTAACAATGTGTAAATTATGTTTAAAGTGAAATTCATTCAATCATTCATTTTCATTTCGGCTTAGTCGCTTTATTAATCGGGGGTCACCACAGCGGAATGAACCGCCAACTTATCCAGCATAAGTTTTACGCAGAGGATGCCCTCCCATGTTGCAACCCATTACTGGAAAACACCCATACACTACAGACAATTTAGCTTACCCAATTCACCTATACCGCATGTCTTTGGACTTGTGGGGTAAACCAGACCAACCAATGAAAACCCACACCAACACGGAGAGAACTAAAGTGAAATTATTCTATAATTTTTTAAAATACCACCCGATATTGATAGACCACACTTATGAGTTAGTAACCACAGCAAAACATATTTCTGTCTAAAACATCTTTTCAAAATATACTCATGAAATTGAGATAATTTCTGTATTTCTGTTTACAAATAAAATGTCTAATCTACAAATAAACTTTTATTCATTCATTCATTTTCTTTTCAGCTTAGTCCCGTTGGTTCACCACAGCGGAATGAACCCCCAACTTATCCAGCACGTTTTTAGCAGATGCCCTTTCAGCTGCAACCCATCACTCGAAAAAACTAAACTTTTAGTTATTTCTAATTATTAACACACAGCCATGTCATTCATCTCAAAACCTTTATTGCTTCTTTTTTTTACTGTTAGAAAGATATATCAGAGTAAAAAAAACTAGTGTAAAAGTCTGTGTCGCTCAGGCTGCACTGCAGTGTCTATTCACAGGCGCGATCCCACTACTGATCAGCACGGGGGATTTGACCTGCTCCGTCTCCGACCTGGGGCGGTTCACCCCTCCTTAAACGACCTGGTGGTCCCGAGCTCCCCCAGGAGAACCATATCGATACCGAACTTAGCGCGGACACCCGATCAACATAGTCCACTGCAGCCCAGAAGCCCTGAGCTCAAGCGATCCGCAGCCTCAGCCTCCCTGTAGCTTGCATTACAGGCGCGCGCCACTGAACCCGGCG